AGGGCTAATTATATATACGTATGTAATATCGTTCAAGGATTACTTTTTGTTATACAAGAAACATAATTTAACAATTTCCAATGTAGTGGTTTAAAACCTAATGAATATCGGTGCGCGATTATTTGCAGAAAACCACATATATCCGGTTATTAATACTGTAGTACATTGTGATCCGGCGATTTAATACACATCGTGTTCTGGTGACGATGGATGACATTGATCTCGCACTTCTTGATGGATCGGTAGATTTGACCTGGGACACTGAAATGAAAGAGAAACTTAGTCAGAAATACATTCAAGATATATTTTCATTCAAGATATATAACCTCATTTAATTAAAATACTTTTTGAAAATGTTATGACATTCATAACTTCATGAGGTATAGGAATGCAAAATCAGAAAATAAAATTGTTTGATTGATTCAATACATGGTAATAAAACGTTATTTTTAATAATGATTTGGGTGCGTACGCTCCACATCGCCCCACCCCCTCCAGCAGCATATTTTTAGTCAATAATTTACTGAATATAAATATTGCTATTTTTGTAATAAAACTTAAAAGCGAATATTAAATCTTTTCATTTTAACCAATACTCTATTGGAACCCCTGCAACGTCCGACAATACCAAAAAGCTGCGGTCCAACCGGATCTTCCCCTTCGCCCTATACAACGTTTGGTCCATTTGGTACGATTATAACATCTTATGTTCATATCTTAGCACTGTTATTGTTTATATATTATCATTATAGCATTCTGCAAGACGGGTTAGATATTCTCTACATTGTATATATACTTATTTATATATATATAATATTAGTCTAGACCAAAGGCTCCCAAAAAACAACTGGGGGTCCGCCAAGTCAAGTCAAAAGGGTCAGAGGGGTCCGAAAAATGCAGGGTCCGCAACATTTTTTTTTGGGGGGGGGGGGGGAGCAACATTTTTTTGGGGAGGCTGTCTATCTGGAGGGGGCCATTATTAGGGACCCATGCCATTATTGTTAAAACAAAAATAAAAATAAACAAATAAATAAATAAAAAGAAAATTTCAATAACATGAAATAACCTTTTTAAATATAGTAAATGAAATGCAGAAAAGGGTGTTTCTCTTTGCAAGTGAAAATGGCGAAAGATGGATACGTGCGCCTTACAAGATGCCATTATTACTATTATTATTATTAGGCCTATCATTATTATTATTATTATTATTATTATTATTATTATTATTATTATTATTATTATTATTATTATTATTATTATTATTATGCCTATTATTATTATTGAGGGCCCATGATCATAATTATTATTTTTGAAAAAATTATTTAAAAAAATGCTGCCTGCAATTTCTATGGGCCCCTAGTAAGCTTGGGCCCGGGGACTTTCCCCCTTTCCCCTCTTAGTGGCACTGCACGTGATAGTGGCAATCCTCAGGCAATGTACATTTGTTTGTAATGTTTTCTGTTTTACCGGTATTACTTTTACCAGAATGTTGAATAAATTTTTACAAAACTAAAAATAAATAGAGAATAAAAGTATATTACATTTAAATTTTGAATCTGAATGCCATTTCCGGCCATCTAGAAATGCCATAGACAGAACAAAATCGTGTCAACCCCCTGTCTGTAAAATTATTCTGACACACTTACATCTCGAATTCCAGGATTCGCCACTGTTGAATGTTTTACTTTTTTGGCGAATCATCTTCTATTTCCATAATCTTATTGGTGAAAGATCAACCATGAGCCATCTAAATTCTACAAAATGTAAAATAAATAGGGAATAAAAGACAATCACATTCAAATTTTGAGTCTGACAGCGCCATTTCCGATCATCTAATGTCATCGACATAAAATTTCGTACCTCAGCGTCAATATTCATATATTCATATATATATATATTCATATATATATATATATATTTTTTTCAATTGTTTTGCATTATATGGCCGTTTGCTGTTTTATGGGTGTTTCCCATTTGCCTTTCACTTATATATATATATATATATATATATATATGCCTATGTGACAGAAAATAATGATGCGGAAACGTTGAGTTAGACAGTTGAACACAATATAATTTATTCAGGAAACGAATATTTCGTACTGTCTTCAAGACTTCATCAGCGTAACTGATTACAAAAGTTGGCAAATACCAGATCCAGTGTAAAACAATAAACAGTCGGTAGTAAATAAAGGAGGGTGATTAAATGAGATAAACAATATCCGGTTTAATAACCACAAACAGTCCGTCCGTAGCAAGAGCAAGGGGTTCCCTGTCGCTGAACACTTTAACTCCCCTGGCCACTCCATTGACAACATCCGATGTATTCTGCTGGCTAACAATTTTCCATCTCTCGACCGTAGAAGACGCTCAGAGCTCAAACTCATTATCAAATTTAATACTCACATTTTAGGCCTTAATCGTGACATGGGTATTCTGAGCGATTACACATTCACACACACTTGACTTTTTTTCATATCACCGTATTCCCGTTTCATTACTTTATGTACACCTTGTTATATTCCATATCACTTGTATTTTGCTATATTTAATTTTGACTTCTGCATTAATATCTAGGCTTACCTTGTTTACTTCGTTTTTGTTTATTTTGTTTGTTTATTTTTTGTTAATGGTTTATTATTATTATTATTATTATTATTATTATACTATATTACATTATATCATATACTGTACATATATATGTATGTATTAGGCTTATATATTATCTTATAATTTTTGTTGCCATTGTATTTATCTGTATCATGGGCTATCACTTCCACTTCCCGATATCACAGTACTTTTTTTTACTCATTATCATTATTATTATTATCTCGCTTCCATTATATATCATTATCCCCATGTCTCCAATATTGTTTATCTCATTTAATCA